AGTAAAAAACAACACTCGAACATAAAAAGTATAATCAATAAATCAAGGATATGACCTCGGTCCATTTATTTTTTTTTTTAAACATCACGAACCAACTCTATATTTATACATTTTTTGAAAACTACACCATAGAAGATGCATCCTTACTAATACGAACTATTCTCTCTATCTTTGACCTCAAGGTCTCATCGATTGAATAACTTTCTCCAAAATTTGTCAATATCTCATTAACCTTTTTATCGATAAAATTAATTTCTCCCCGTAAACCACGAATTATTGATGTAATACGAATTACCTCGGAAGATGAAGTTGAAGGTACGGACGACATCTTACTTGATAGCTTTTACCTCTGCACTCACTTTAATGATCTTTCCCATCTTGGTCTCGAATGTATCTTCCTTTTCTATCTTGACGCCGAGATTATTTAATATATCATTTGCTTGTTTTTCTGCTGCAACAATCCTTGGATTATTACTTGTTAGCGCAGTATTCTCAGTTCTCAACTTTGCAATTAAAGCATTAATCCGATTAACTTCTGATGAGGTTGACATATTTACTGAACATCATAAAATATCATATCTATATATACCTGAAAATTGTTTACGACTGTTCCACTCCTCGACTGCCATCTTGAAAGAATCAGTACGACTTATATCAGGATTAATAGACGCTATCTTACGCATCTCAGTACTCAAAAATTCATTATATTCCGTTTTTGCACGTTTTCTTTTTGGTCTCCTGATAATCTCATCTTCATCCGACGAATCGACAGTACAATGTAACTTGCATAAATCATTATACTTCATCAATTCATCCACAAACTTTTTTCTCTTTTTAGTATCATTGTACATCATATGAACAATATCAAGATTAATAATTATGGTCCCCATTTTTATTGAACCCAAATAAAATACATGATCTATTTATATCATTTTGGAAATAGAACATCGTAAGTGACCTTGAGAAATATGGAAGTAAACACGAACACCTCATGAAAAAATGTAAATGATAAAATTGCAACAAATCTTATGATAATAATAATTTCTCGTAAATGATGTAGAATAAGAAGATTAACAATAACATAGACCCATGTATTGGAAGTATTATCAATAAATGCGATAAAAATAACATAAAAAATCCAAAAAATATTATCGATACTGAAAATTCGCATATGGAATGTTCGTCGATCGGCATACATCCACAAAAGACCGAAGAAAACAAATTGAGGTGAAACATATGATATAGACCTTGTAAAGAACCTATAATTGATATGTTAATAAAATATAACAATTTATTATCGATAACGATGTCACTTACTCAAAATTCATCTTTATTATATCGTTTCAAAAAAAATATATTGACCGATCACAAAAATCTTGATCAAAAATACAACAAATAATAAAGGGATAAACACCTTTATAAACAATTTGAAATTTTTAAAAATAAAAAATAATAACAAGATAAGAATCGGGAGTACAATAAG